TACTGCTGTGATATTTTGTGCCTTACTGCAGTGTTTACTTACTATAAGTTTTTTTTTTTTCTTTTTTGAAAACTAATAGAATGTAAAAAAAAGAATCAATTGCCTATAGAATGGCCATATGGCAAAACACCAATAAAATGGCAGTTTCCAAATTATCTGGCTAGCTTCAAATACTTAGAAACAGTTGAATGTTTTATATACGTTTAATAATAAAATGTTTGAAAAAATACTTATAACAAGTCCTAGAATTTTGTGCTCTGAATTGCTGTAATGATTTCTCAGTCTTTCCATGCGATGGCTTCTCTAATTGCATTAACCAGACCCTTCTCAGATGATTTGTTTAATTAGAAGGAGGTATATCATATGCTAACTTGACGCCTGATTCATCTCCATCCAGAGGCATTGCATGTGGTCCCCATTTCTAGGCTGGAAGCTGACACTGCCCAGTCTTCTATTGCACTAGTAGCACAGAAAAACTAATCAGAAACTTGTTTTGGTTCCATTTTACTAACAGCCTTCTGTAAATTGTCACAATGACTGAACTGAAAATAGCTTAAAACTGTAAAACCAATTTTAAGATATAAGATTTGTTATTTGAAAACCCCATTAAAAAAAAATTGCCCCCCAAAAATGTAAAAATAAAAAAGAACCTACCAAATGCATTTTTGTAAAGTAGTGTAGGCAAGGTTTGTAGAAATACCACCTATATTTAACTTGATTTTTGATGCTCATTAAAAAAAAAAACAAAGCAAGTCCAACCTGTAAAAGAACAACAATAATACTTACCACTCCTGCCCCTGGGGATCTTTGCTCTATTGCAGACCTATGCTGGCTGAAGAATCTTGCAGGCCTGTTAGAAAATCTTTTTAAAGATCATATATATTTAAAATATACCAAATAAAATGAACTAAAATATCCTCTCTTTTTTTGATTACAAACTTTTTTTTATTGAAAAAGAGTCTTTAATTACATTCCGAGAAGTGATAAATACATTACAAAACGTTATATCAAAAGATATACATACAGTCACTTTTTGTAGTGCTAACATCACTTAGATATATCTTAGATTATATACGGGTATGAAAATATATTTATCTGTGTTACATCTCGGTACAGAATATCAAAAGAAAATACAAACTAAAGGGTACAAATTGAAGGGTACAATTATAAGTTATATAAAATTGAATATAGTGCAATGTCTCTTCATCAAAATGATGGTCTAATTGTCCTTTGAAAGTCTATAAAGGAACCAAGGATCGCAAGAGGCCCTCCACTCTCAGAACAGACTTGTGGGCACTTTGTGTACGGGATACACTGAACACCTGTGCACAGGGGTGGACTGACCATTTGGAAACTCGGGCATGCCCGAGGGGGAAAGCCCGGGGTCAGTAGGGGGCCCCATGAGATGCCCCTGGTACCTTTTTCATAGGCTTTTTTGAGTTTGGGCAAGGACACAGGGGCCCCATGATCCCCTATTGCCCGGGGGCCCCATGAGTTGTCAGTTCGCCCCTGGGCAGGATACACCAAGTGTTGGACGCCCAGCCATGGAAACTCATGAACAAGCACTCTGCTTCATTCCCTACACACACATGCACAGTCTGCTGTCCTTGACTCTCACAGAACACAGAGCTGCAGAAGAGAGTGGACTGTACATGTGTGGCTTTGGAACAATGTCAAGTGATTATTCTATGGGTTTACCGGCTAGTTTGTTGACATTCAGCAGCTGGCTGTGGAGTTGTCATTTGGGGCAATGATGCAGCAGGTGAGAATCATCTTGGTGCAGGCTGTCATGTCTGTGGGCCATTGGGACATATCTAATTGTGATTGACATGGGATTAACATTGCTGAAAAATGTGACTAATGTTGGAATTACTATCTAGAATAAGGGTTTGGTATAGATTTTGGAAGGGTACATCGTGTAATTTTTTCTTGCTTTCTTTGCTTGGGGTCACCCTCATGAGATGCCCCTGGTACCTTTTTTATAGGCTTTTTTGAGTTTGGGAAAGGACACAGGGGCCCCATGATCCCCTATTGCCCGGGGGCCCCATGAGTTGTCAGTCCACCCCTGCCTGTGCATCCTCATTTGGGAAAACACGGCCAAGCATGAGTGTATAGCACTGTATATCCTGTGCAGGGGCGGACTGACCATTTGGAAACTCGGCACGGCCCGAGGGCCCAGGGTCAGTAGGGTGCCCCATGAGATGCCCCTGGTACCTTTTTCATAGGATTTTTTGAGTTTGGGCAAGGACACAGGGGCCCCATGATCCCCTATTGCCCGGGGGACCCATGAGTTGTCAGTCCGCCCCTGCCTGTGCATCCTCATTTGGGAAAACACGGCCATGCATGAGTGTATAGCATTGTATATCCTGTGCAGGGGCGGACTGACCATTTGGAAACTCGGGCACTGCCCGAGGGCCCGGGGTCAGTAGGGGGCCCCATGAGATGCCCCTGGTACCTTTTTCATAGGCTTTTTTTTGAGTTTGGCCAAGGACACAGGGGCGCCATGATCCCCTATTGCCCGGGGGCCCCATGAGTTGCCAGTACGCCCCTGATCCTGTGTGACCTTGGCCTTACTTTGCATCTGTTTAATAAACTACAAATTACAGATGCTCCCTTTCTGATCATTCAGCTAATTACCTTTTCTGATGAATATATTATTCTTAGTAATAGGGTAGTGAACAGACAATTTATAGATAGAAATATTCATTTCAGGTGCTGTATAAAAAGCATTTTTTCTGTATCTGTTTTGATCCCTGTTGGATGCCTGCCCCCTGTAAGGTGCTATACATAGTAGAGCGCCTGCCAGGGAATTGCTATAGCGTTTGTTTAATACTCCTACAATATATATGTTAATATTTTCTGTGCCGCTGATTATTATTATTAGAATTTTTATAGTTTTGGTCATGCTTTCCTTATGGATGCTTCAAATGTCTGACAGTATTCATAACATTGGTCCTTACAGTTGAGTGTCAAAGGGTTTTCTAAGTGTCTGTGGGTAATCCGCTCAGGAATTGTAGAGGAATTTTGGAACCAAGATGTGTTCTTTTCCATGTCATAAGACACCAGGAACCATAATCATTCTGGGATCATAAAGTTTTACATCATCTGGCTGCCAAATGCAATGAAATATGTGACAGCGAGTAGACAGTTTGATTAGCTTGTTCATGGTCAGATTTACAAAATTAAATAAAAAGGCTTGTAAGAGCACATAGGACGTGGATTGCTGTTGACAATATGATGCCTAAAATGACCCAATTAAAGGCCTTTAAAGGGTTAACAAGGAGCATACAGTATATAAGCATTACCTATCCTTTTGGTGTGTTTTAAATGAAGTTAGTTTGCTAAATTGGGTAAAATATTTTTAAAAAAATCAAAAGATTCAGTTGTACAGCAGAAGCATAAATACTTACCCTGAACAAAAAACAGATACAGTTGCAATAAAAAGTATGTGAACCCCTTGGGATTCCGTGGAGTTTTGCATGAATTGGGCATAAAATGTGCTCTGAACGTCATCTAAGTCACAACAATAGAAGAACACAGTCTGCTGAACATAATACTACACAAACATTAGATGTTGCCATGGTTTCATTGCACATAACATGTAAACATTCACAGTGCAGGGAGGAAAAAGTATGTGAGGCCCTAGCTTAATGACTTCTCCCAGAGCTAATTGGAGCCAGGAGTGAGCCATCCTTGACTCCAATCAGTGTGATGATATTGGATGTGTTGCTGACAGCTGTCCTGCCCTTAAAAAACACACACCTGTTTTGGGTTTACTGGTTTCAAGAAGCACTGTCTGATGTGAACCATGGCTTGCAGGTACTGAGTACACTGAAACAGTTTTGTGAAGAGGAGTGGTCCAAAATGACTCCAGATTGTTGTGCAGGTCTGATCTGCAACTACAGGAAATGTTTTGGTTGAGGTTATTGCTGCCAAAGGAGGGTCAACCAGTTATTAAGTCCAAAGGTTCACATACTTTTTCCTCCCTGCACTGTGAATGTTTGCATGTTATGTGCAATTAAACCATGGCAACATCTAATGTTTGTGTAGTATTATGTTCAGCAGACTGTGTTCTTCTATTGTTGTGACTTAGATGACGTTCAGAGCACATTTTATGCCCAATTCATGCAAAACTCCACGTAATCCCAAGGGGTTTCACATACTTTTTCTTGCAACTGTAGGGTGCCACGCTCTATTAATTGTTTAGGTCTATAATTTATCAGAGATATATTCTAGCATTTGTTTAAACTTGCACCATAAATATACATAAAACTTGTTCATGTGATTCAAAATTGATACAACAATAAATGGATAAAAAGATATGTGAACAAGTGAAAGTGAATCAACACAAGCATAAACATAAAAGTGACATAATCCAATCGTGACCTTCGTTATATATATTAGGTCCCATGTGCACTAATGCAAAAGCAAACTCAATGCAAGTTCAGCAGATATCTGTCTTCAATATACTCTTCTTATGGGCAGCCTGTGATTGAGTAGCTGAGATGGAACTGCACTGTGAGCCTGTATAAGTGTCGAGATCTCTCCTTCCTTAAAGCACTCCTTAATCCAGTACTCCTCGTGTGGATCATAGGGAAAAAAGAGAGATATATATTGTCTTATCAGGGATAAAAGACTTTATTGTGCTCCCATTATGCACTCACATCAAAGTCAAACAAATTGCGCATATGGTATGCATATCCGCAGGTGGCGGTGGGAACAGCCTCATAGGTGTGCCTACGCACACTGTCAGTACTCGCCGTATCTAGGATCGGATGCGTGGTGACGTCACTGCCCCTTCCCAACACGCAGCACCACAGGGACTTGTAGCTTCATCTGGGGCATGTAGTACACAGATCACCCTGCCTCGATTCCTTATATAATGTTACGGTGCCATTTTGTTGTGGTCCTGACGGGTGCTGCCATCTTTTTGGGGTTTAGGTTAATACAGAACACCGTTGTTGATAATTATTTGTAACCAGGGGCGGACTGACAACTCATGGGGCCCCCGGGCAATAGGGGATCATGGGGCCCCTGTGTCCTTGCCCAAACTCAAAAAAGCCTATGAAAAAGGTACCAGGGGCATCTCATGGGGCCCCCTACTGACCCCAGGCCCTCGGGCAGTGCCCGAGTTTCCAAATGGTCAGTCCGCCCATTTGTAACTATTACAATTTGTGGATACAATGTATGTCCCAGCATCCTACGGCTTGAATACCAGTGTGTGCATTGTACACCCTTAAGGCGGTCCAGCAGATAATGCGCTTAAATTCAAAACATAATATAAACTGCAGCTGAATAATGATTTGTATGTGGTCATACTAATACATATTTCATAACCATATAATTCATCTTCAAAATAATAGAAAATTTTAATAATAGAATAATAAAAATATTTAATTAAAATTGAATAAATACTTGATAAAAAGTTATTCATAAATATATGATTTGATTATTGGATGATCTAAATAACATATCATATGTCAACTATAAATGGGTTCTATGTGTTTTTTAACATGCGTCCCTCACAGGGGTGGACTGACCATGGAAACTCGGGCACTGCCCAAGGGCCCGGGGTCAGTAGGGGGCCCCATGAGATGCCCCTGGTACCTTTTTCATAGTCTTTTTTGAGTTTGGGCAAGGACACAGGGGCCCATGATCCCCTATTGCCCGGGGGCCCCATGAGTTGTCAGTCCGCCCCTGGTCCCCCATAAACGCATGTCAAATAAGTGTAAAAAAAATAATTCAACCCTAAATTTATTAGTTTTATATATTTACACTAATTACCTCTTGAGTCATGACAGCAACAACATTATTTTGGTTTTGGTAACATGTATATATAGTAACCATTAATATTCATAAGTCCATAATTGAGGTAGTCACCCCAGGGGACACCATGTACCTATGTACTGTACCTTTGGGCAAACACACTATTTTATAATAAATATTAATTGCATGTTATATGTATATTTGTTTATTTGCCACCCAAATATAATCTCTTGATCTTAATTCAATAGTCGCTCAAAAAACATGAGAGGTCAAATTCTTTGTTTAGGCCCCTAGGGGCCAGACAATTCATCTCATAAAACCCAGTGAGATTCTTTTTTACTAATTTCCCTAACTAGATTGTCTCCTCTCCAGTGTGCATTATGTTTCTTGATACCCCAGAATTCCAAACCTTTAACCTGTTGTCCATGGAAATGGCGAAAAAGCTCTGCTCATGTACTGTATTTCCAAGCTAAAAGTCTAAGTTAGACAACCAGAAAAGTTTTTGTGCAATGAGAACACCGATTATAATGTGGCATACACTTTATTACTAATTGGATGAGTTTTCAAGACAAGTAGAACACTTGGGTTCACAAGCAAAGGAAGTGAGCATCTAGACTGTGGAGCCTGGAAAGAAATTAAAACTTCAGTTCTGGTGAACAGTCACTTTGCAGAAAAGACAGATCATAATAGGCGCATAAAAAGCCAGGGGTCAATCACAAAATAATAATTATACTGGTACCATGTGAACGCTGTGACCAATCTTAGCAGATCCCATGGCAATTGTACACAATGAACAGCTTTCATTCATAGCTATTCATTGTGTGCTAATGTCTTGATCTCTCTATTTGGTAACTGCCCATCTGTATGAAGCGATTAGGTGTGGCCAATCACAGCTAATCACAATAGTACACACTGAATGACTAGATTTCATCCATAAAAAATGGTTGCTTATAACAGTGATTATCACTGTTATAAGCAATCATAGTGTATAAAAAAAAAATCCTGCTCACCTTCAAAAAACTTGCCATGCCTCTTACCAAATATCTTGGACTGAATACTTTTCAAAAGGGGTAATTTGGGGGATATTTGTACTGTCCTGGCATTTTCTGGCCTCAGAAAATTAAATATGCCATCAGTACATCAGGATCGATCAATATTTTTAGTTATATACAGTCAGGTCCATAAATATTTGGACATCGACACAATTCTAACATTTGTGGCTCTATACACCACCACAATGGATTTGAAATTAAACAAACAAGATGTGCTTTAACTGCAGACTGTCGACTTTAATTTGAGGGTATTTACATCCAAATCAGGTGAACGGTGTAGGAATTACAACAGTTTGCATATGTGCCTCCCACTTGTTAGGGGGCCAAAAGTAATGGGACAATTGGCTTCTCAGCTGTTCCATGTCCAGGTGTGTGTTATTCCCTCATTATCCCAATTACAATGAGCAGATAAAAGGTCCAGAGTTCATTTCAAGTGTGCTATTTGCATTTGGAATCTGTTGCTGTCAACTCTCAAGATGAGATCCAAAGAGCTGTCACTATCAGTGAAGCCATCATTAGGCTGAAAAAACAAAACAAACCCATCAGAGAGATAGCAAAAACATTAGGCGTGGCCAAAACAACTGTTTGGAACATTCTTAAAAAGAAGGAACGCACCGGTGAGCTCAGCAACACCAAAAGACCCGGAAGACCACGGAAAACAACTGTGGTAAATGAGTGAAGAATTCTATCCCTGGTGAAGAAAACACCCTTCACAACAGTTGGCCAGATCAAGAACACTCTCCAGGAGGTAGGTGTATGTGTGTCAAAGTCAGCAATCAAGAGAAGACTTCACCAGAGTGAATACAGAGGGTTCACCACAAGATGGAAACCATTGGTGAGCCTCAAAAACAGGAAGGCCAGATTAGAGTTTGCCAAACGACATGTAAAAAAAGCCTTCACAGTTCTGGAACAACATCCTATGGACAGATGAGACCGACATCAACTTGTACCAGAGTGATGGGAAGAGAAGAGTATGGAGAAGGAAAGGAACTGCTCATGATCCGTAAGCATACCACCTCATCAGTGAAGCATGGTGGTGGTAGTGTCATGGCGTGGGCATGGATGGCTGCCAATGGAACTGGCTCTCTTGTATTTATTGATGATGTGACTGCTGACAGAAGCAGCCGGATGAATTGTGAAGTGTTTCGGGAATATTATCTGCTCATATTCAGCCAAATGCTTCACAACTCATTGGCCTCTTCACAGTGCAGATGGACAATGACCCAAAACATACTGCAAAAGCAACCAAAGAGTTTTTTAAGGGAAATAAGTGGAATGTTATGCAATGGCCAAGTCAATCACCTGACCTGAATCCGATTGAGCATTTCACTTGCTGAAGACAAAACTGAAGGGAAAATGCCCCAAGAACAAGCAGGAACTGAAGACAGTTGCAGTAGAGGCCTGGCAGAGCATCACCAGGGATGAAACCCAGCGTCTGGTGATGTCTATGCGTTCCAGACTTCAGGCTGTCATTGACTGCAAAGGATTTGCAACCAAGTATTAAAAAGTGAAAGTTTGATTTATGATTATTATTCTGTCCCATTACTTTTGGTCCCTTAACAAGTGGGAGGCACATATGCAAACTGTTGTCATTCCTACACTGTTCACCTGATTTTTGGAGGTAAATACCCTGAAATTAAAGCTGACAGTCTGCAGTTAAAGCACATCTTGTTCATTTCATTTCAAATCCATTGTGGTGGTGTATAGAGCCAAAAATGTTAGAATTGTATCCATGTCCCAATATTTATGGACCTGACTGTATATCATATAGTTTGTGGACTCCTACAAACTAAATATTATACACTGATTTGGGCTATTTTCATGAAAGAAATGTAGAGGTATACAATAAATTTTGGCTTAAATTAATGAAGAAAGATTATTTATTTGCAACATTTTATAACAGAAACAAAGAAAACTATTTTTTCAACATTTTTAGTCTATTTTCATTTATTTACCAAAAAATAAAAAACCAAGTGGTGATTAAATACCACCAAAGGAAAGCTATATTTGTGTGAAAAAAATGCTAAAAATCTCCTTTGGGTACAGTGTTACATGACTGAGCAATTGTTATTCAATGTGTGACGGTGCTGAAAGCTGAACATTGGCCTGGGCAGGAAGGGGATGAAATATCCCCCCGAGGAAGCCATGTGACCCTGTGTTGGGGCTGATGACATCACGACGCTCCCTACATGGATTAATTTGGTATCTCAGCAGATGAGTGGAGGATGGTACATGTACACATATCTGTATTTATATGTGTATTACACGTGGTGTGATGAGCACCTACAAAATATGAGTGGCCATTGTTTAAGTTTTTACTAAAATTGAGTTGTTTTATGGATACATCACTATTGTGTTCCTTCTTTTTCATATCATTTATGTGGAGTGGAGGAAGAGCTCTTTAGGAAGTGGTGATCTCTGGAGGAAGATCCTGCAGTGTGGATATGTACACCATTACATATGTCCATTTCTTGGGACACATGCTTTTTTTGACCTGACGTGATGTGAGGTCAAAAACTCCAGGTGAGGGCACATCTGGTGTTTGTTTGGTGGAGGATTGAATCTATATGAAGACAGAAGCTTTATTCAAGTTGGAAAGATTGCTCATTTAAGTGGAGGAAATTTTGAGAGGCTTTGCATTGACACATGTTCACTTTATCGATGCGTGTTCGCAGTTGTTGTTATATGTTCATTATATTTTGCACATAGAATTGGTTTATGTGAATAGGGAAGCGCTGCGCTGTATATTTACGTTCTATTTTCATGCACATGTTATGAGTATGCGAGTAGTGTGAGCTGCTTTCACTAGTTTAAAGGGGATTAATTACGCGTTATTGCTCGTGAGCAACAAAATATCTTTTAATGAAAAATGCGTTTTTTCAACATTTTTGGTCTTTTTTAATCTATTTAGCAAAAAAAATAAAAAAAACAAGTGCCGAATTAAATACCACCAAAAGAAAGCTACAGGTATATTTGTGTGAAAAAAAATGCTAAAAATATCCTTTGGGTACAGTGTTGCATGACTGAGCAATTGTCATTCAATGTGTGACACAGCTGAAAATTGGGCTGGGCAGGAAGGGGATGAAAGTGTCCAGTATTTAAGTGGTTAAAGAACCAGCATGCTATTAGGCTCTGCCCTATATGGGTTCTGAACAGTGGAGGACCTTTCACTTGGCTAATGATTAATTGCCCTGCTACCTCTACCTCATCAGATGTGATCTCTCTAAACTGCTGAGGGGGAGAAGATGAGAAATTATCTTCTCTCTAGGCATAATGTTCTTGATTTTTGTGTATATATATAATCTATACATAGATATATATAGATAGATATATATGTATG